GGCCTGCCTGGGTTTCCTCACTCTGCTCTTGAATCTAGTTCCTTATGCTTCGTGGTCCTGCTGGTTCGCTGTCTTCATCGTGGACTGCTCATCTCTCTGTTTCCCTGGAAGAGCTCTGCCTTCTCTTCAAGGCTCTTCAATTTTCCTTACCAAGCTAGAGATGGTAACCTCTTCCTATTGCCTTCGAAAGGCTCCGTGCAGACGTGGCTTCTTCCAGGGAGCCTCCCCTGCTTTACAAGTGGGGATAGTTGACCCTCCACTGTGCTCTCCTAACATTAGGGCAACCCAGTGATTTGCTTTCCAAATGAAGGCCCTTTCCTGTAAAAATGAAAGCCCTTTCCCTGATGACAGCAAGGCAACGGCTGTGAAGTGGGCTTGTCGAGGGCGTCTGGGGACAAACGGCACCGCCCTACACCTCTTGTCCTCCTCGGTGTGCCCTCGGCACGCTGTCCTAGAATTGTCTCCAGGTCCATCCCTCTCCAGACATCAAGCTTGGTGAGGACAGGGGCCACAAAATGGCTGGTCCGTACTGTGAATACCAAGCCCAGCACAACACGGAGTTGACCCAGTGATGTTTATTGACTCAAAGGGGAGGGTCAGGAGAAGGGGAGGGGGCGTGGGTGGCAGGATTCTGCTGTGAGCAAACCGGAGCCCCTCATCTGGCTTCAGCTGAGCGGCCAGCATATCGGCTAGCCAGGAACCTTCCTGGACTAGGACACCTGGCCTCTAGTATCCTCCATTCAGATGCCCATCCATCCACCCGTCTGCCTGTCTGCTCATCTGTCCATCCATCAGACTAATAGTGGTGAAGCCCCGTCTCTGGGAGGAGCAATGAGCTGGCCCGGGGTCTGCACCACACGGAGTTCACCTAGAGAAAACACGGACACTAAACAGGCAGACAGATGAGTAGGCAACCAGGGAAATGCAGCACACCACGTGACAGGCCACGCTGGGTGGGGGTGGGGTCTGCTCTGGGCACGTGGTCACCGTGAGTTCGGCCAGGGTAGGGACGTACTGGAGAAGCCGAGAACACAGTGCCTGCTGCTGGAAGCCGCCAGTAGCCGAACAAGACTGTCACAAGGACAGACCCCTGATGGCTGGGTAGGTTGATGCCAAGGGCAGAGACACCAGCGTGCAATGTGGCGGGGGTCCAAGGTCGGGTAGGTTGGATGTACCTGGTACTCTGCTGGAGGTGGAGAGGCAATGCGTGCAGCCTCGAAGGTGAGGACAAGCCCGTCCTTCTGCTGAGGCCTGGCTCCCCCTCCATCCTGGCAAGGAGACCTTGTTTTGTCTCCTCTGGCAGACCTGGACTCTGAGCAGTCAGGTGACTTGCTGGAGGTCACCCAGGCAGAGAAATGGCAGCAGCGGGGAGTCTAACCCTGGCTGGACAGAAACCCAAGACAGCCCTGTCCCTCCAGCTGGCCACAAGCTTCTCCAGGACCAGGGACATGACCTGCCTGTCTCTGGAGTCAGGCTGGCGTCCCCACACCCCAGCAGTGGGTTCCAGGAGAAGAGGCCTCTGCGTTTCCCATCTGTCTAGACTAGGCTATTTATTACGCATCCCAGACACCATCAGCTGCCTGGATACCCACCTGGCCCTGCCAGCACACAGATGGATAGCCCCTTGGGGGTGGTGAGGGGGGCAGTGCAGTTATTTCCCATGGCTGAGAGGATGGGGCTGATCCTGGGGTGTTCCACCACTGAAACTGCTCCCCCCTTATCCCATTTCCAGATCTTCCAGGAAGAAGATCACCCTCCTACTCTTTAGGGTCTTCAAAGCCAAGCCCTCCCACCCCTCCTGAGCCCAGTGGACTGTGTTAGATGAACAGGTCTCCATACACTGCACCCCACCCCACCCCAAACTCCCTGTTGGTGTCACCCCAGTCTGGAAAGATTGAGCAAGAGGACTTGGCGTGATGTCATCCCCAGGAGGGGTAGAAAACCAGTAACGTGGTGTCTCTGGGCGGAGAGGGCTACAGGTGCGCTTTCTTAGTTCCCACAACGAGCGACACCTTGCTTTCTAGCGGAAAAGCACGCCACCTTTATCCGACCACTGGCAGCTGCTGTAAAACGCTGTGTCGGCAGAGGGCTCACACAGCGTGTCTAGAATGTCTTCGTTTGGTACAAAATTTCTGCGGGTCTCTTAAAAAATACATGACGAGAGTATTCTTCATCAAAAAATGTCTCCATCTGAGTGAAAAGAATTCTGGTGATTTATCTTTTTAATATTATCCGGAAGACTTGACCGTTTAACAGAGATCGTGAAGTATTTTTTAAAAAATCATCAGGGAACACAAAATAATTTGTACTTTGGAGCTTGGCTTCGCTTTACCTCTCTCTCCCTTTCTTCTCCCTCCTCCCTCCCCCCATCTCTTCCTTCCTTCCTTTACAAAGCTAACCCTGGGGCCAAAAGCTGGGTCTGCAGGGGTGTCGTGATGTGGGGGACTGTGTGTGTGTGTGTGTGTGTGTGTGTGTGAGGGTGAGGTGTGGGTCTGTGCGTGTGTGTGTGTGTGTGTGTGTGTGTGTGTGTGTGTGTGTGTGTGTGAGAATGGGGATCAGAGGTCAGTCTGGTCCAGACAGCAGGATGACTGTGGGGAGCTGACCTGGGTGGGGATTGGTGGAGGTGGGAGGGGGAGGGGAGGGCCCCCGCCGGCTCTCATTAGTCACCTCCCTGAGCTGGTTTGTGGAGAAGCAGCGCCATCTGGTGGCCGCTGCCATTGACAGACGTTCTTCCAGGCTCAGTCTTTGGCTATTTGGGGAGATGGTCCTGGGTGTGGTCACTAGGGTGTGTATGAGGGGTGGAGAGACTTGGGAGGGTAGGTGGGGAGGGCTCTCCAGACAAGGCAGTTTTCAGGGACGTGTCGGGGAGGAAGGGAAAAACGAGTGGTTCAACGTGACTCTTTCTTTTTAATATTTTTTTTAATTGCTAGAAGGCGTGTGTAATAGCCTGGGGGAGACAGGGAGAGGGAGAGAGACAGAGAGAGAAAGAGAGAGAAGGCACCTCCAAGAGGGCGTGGCTGCACTGCAATCCCTTCTCCATTTCCGAGATTTGACAAGGCTTTTTTTTTTTGTTTGTTTTTTTTTTAGGTTTTTGCCACATGGCATGTGCCCTTGCCAGAGAGCGACAGAGAAGGAAAGTGAGAAATCACTCCCCCTCCCCGAGGGGATGGCTGTACCACAATCCTTTCTCCTCCTCAGATTTTGGGTACGCGTGCACACATGTCCGGTGTGATTTTAAAGCCTCTAGGCCCGGGACTAGAGTTGCGGTTGGTCATGTGGAAATCCCGCGCCTTTAACTACCATGCCACCTGCTGGCCCCTCAGTAGGACTCTTCAGTGGAAGCATCAACAGCCCAGGCTCAGCAAACACACAGCAAAAATGGTTCCCCAGCACAGCTGGGCCCTGGGTTCCGATCTGCCCGGCCCCCCAGTGTGGGCCGCCGTGTTGGGGAGGCAGCAGCAGTTCATGCCCTCACTCACATCCTGGAGGCACCGCCTCCTCCGACCTTACCCCTCCCTCCCTTCCTTCTTCTCTGCAGGCTGCCATGGGGCCAGGGAGGCAGAACATGTCCTTTGAGCTCTGCGTCCTGTTCTTAAGACCGTGCTGAGAGTCGTGCTGTGGGATGGGGTCACTCGCAGTCTTGGAGGTGTCTGGGCCAGGGGTGGGCAAGAGTGGGCTTCTTGTATGCCCTGTGGGGCTGGGCAGGGGGGCCAGGCCACCAGCTACATGTGGCCCATGGGCAGGGCCAGCCCCCCGGCGCCCATCTGGGACCCCTCCCCCAGGGCCCTCTGCAGAACTGCCCGCAGCGGCTCCCTTCTCCCGGGCTGCCGGCCCACGACGAAGTACATGAGTGGCCTGGCGCTGCTGTTGATGCAGGCCAGGAGCGTGGGCAGCGGTGGGAACATGGGCAGCAGGAAGTTGAGGAGTGGTCGCAGGCTCCAGTAGAGGACGAAGGGCAGGCCGCAGAATAAGAGCAGGAGCATGGAGCCCAGGGTGATGCCATAGAACTTGGGGCGCTGGCGCTGGGAGCAGCAGGACACCCAGATGAACAGGACCAGGCCAGCCGCACAGGTCACACAGACCAGAGCCAGGAGCCACGTGATGCTGGCTGCGTGGTAGTGCAGGCAGGTCAGCAGTCTGGTGCCACTGCGCAGCAGGCCACAGGCGTTGGCCGGCAGCAGCACGGCCGGCAGGGTCAGGCCCCAGATCACGATGCAGAGGATGGCGGAGGTGTGTCGGGGGCGGCAGCCCTG